GCATTGTCAGGTTTCTATCCAGAATGAAATAATTATCAGTTTGCCTGAGTTTCAATGTGTGTACACTGGAATGTATTATACCAGGGGGTATAAACATGGTATACAGTTCACACCAATACTTTTGAGTGGAGTCACATCCGGAATTCGAACCCACGCTCTCAAAATCAGGCGCCGAATCGCCAGCACACAAGGTCATCCATCTAACCCATCCAGCCATCGCGGCATCCACAAAAATGGAAGTCGGACAACTGGTTGTGACTGGGAAACTGTAATCCGTAATATAACGTGTTCATTTGACCTCTTTCTAAATGGCATTGTGTATTCATAGATTTCCACAGCTGAGCCGTGAAAATTTACACTGGTGATAGCAGTACACAAAGTCAGTGATCTAGGCCACCAGTTGTCCGACTTCCATTTTTGGCTGATGTATGCCAGTGTTTTCAAAATGCGTATAATCGTCATGCACTTGGAATCGTGTTCAATAAACAAACACCTTTTGATAAAAACCTCTTCGAATTACTGTTTTCAAACTAGCACAAGTTAAAACTAGAACGTAAACTAATTTGCTCGTTCGCTGTGTTTACACGCTCATTGTGTTTACTCGGTCAATATATTTATTTGGTCTCTGTGTTTACTCATCTCGTTAGTTACCACATGGTTACATTCTCATTGTGTTTACTCGGTTAATATATATTGGCCACATGTTCAAAAAGCTTTAAAGAGTGGGTTCGCTTGACCGCTGTCCTGTAATAGTTCACTGAGTTTATTACCTCACAGTGTTACTCGGTTACTGTCTTCAGTTTCTCATTACTTGCTGACTGTCTTTAACCACCCACTCAATGTTTACTTGCTGACTGTCTACACTCTGGGGGCGGTGGGGTAGTCTAGTGGTTAAAGCGTTGGCTCGTCACGCCGAAGACCCGGGTTCGAATCCCCACATGGGTACAATGAGTGAAGCCCATTTCTGGTGTCCCTCCCCGTGATATTGCTGGAATATTGGTAAAAGCGGCGTAAAACCAAACTCAGTCAGTCAGTCAGTCTACACTCTGGGAAAACAGTGAACGACTAAACACTATTCCCGTGTGTACACACTTACTGTGATTCTGGGAAAAATTAATAATTTGTAAGTTCCTAATATCTGAAGTAGACTTACTTTCAGTGTATGTGCGTGCGTGTGCGTGTGTGTGTGCGTTCGTGCGTGCGTGCGTGCGTGCGTGCGTGCGTGTGTGTGTGTGTGTGTGTGTGTTGTGTGTTTTAGTGTCTGTCTCTGTGTTTGTTTGGAATGAGAGAGTAATGTACTTCGTTACCCATGAGGTCCGGGTTAGAATGAACCTTCAGTAACCCATGCTTGTAAAAGGCGACTAACGGGATCGGGTGGGCAGGGTCGCTGGCTTGGTTGACACATGTCATCGTTTCCCAATTGCGCAGATCGATGCTCATGCTGTTGATCACTGGGTTGTCTGGTTCAGACTCGATTATTTACAGACGGCCGCCATATAGCCGAAATATTGCTGAGTGCGGCGTAAAACTAAACTCACTCACTCACTTCTCATTTGAACAGTTATTGTACACAGTTACATCAGGGAATGTCAGCTAATATTTGGGAAAAGATGAAGTGATGGTAAATCTGGTCCGCAATCACCACATTCACAAAATCACATTTTTTGTTATTCACAAAAAGTCACTTACCGTAGACATACCTGTGAACAAATGTGCATCTTCATGCCATATACGAAGAGAGAGAGAGAGAGAGAGAGAGAGAGAGAGAGAGAGAGAGAGAGAGAGAGAGAGAGAGAGAGAGAGAGAGAGAGAGAGAGAGAGAGAGAGAGACATTTCGTTTTCGTTTAAGTCAGATATTACGTTAATGACACTTCTAGTCGGGTGAGATGTCTGTTCACGAGTAAGTGAGCGAGCGTTACACCGTTGTATGCAATATCCAAGCGACGGGAGGTGCACAGACTGAACCTTGCAGCCATTATTTGAATGAAAGCGCACCTCCATAACGTTACTCCACCAAGAGAATCGTCAAACCCTGAGCTGAGGACAGACAAGGTACTGTGTACGGACTGAAGAATAATGTTAGATCTTCCCTGTCAATGGACATCCGATTTTAAGTGACAGATTACACATTTAAACGGACAAGGGCAATGAGGAAAAGGAGAAGCAAATAATTGATCGGGATCCTAAACATGCGCTAGACATTAAATATGTACCGATACAATCTTGTCCTTGTTCTACAAATTATAGGTCTCTGAAACTAGAACGCAGCTGGTCGCGGAATAATGTTTTACGATGTTAGTGTTTCTTTGGAAGGAAGAAACTGATACATTAGTTATGAGATTTAGCGCTTATAAACACTGACTGTAGCCATCACTTGTACCATTTACCCATTTTTTCACGTGTGTCATTTTTTGTAATCTGTGAGCTCCATCTTGTGTTTCCAACGAATCACTTTTCTTCTACGTTGTAATTTGACAGGTGTTGCAGCTCACGGAATGTTTTTGTTCTGGAAAATAGAAATATTGATTTCATGTCAAAAACACTTTTAACGAAATTGTGAGACTGAAGTTTTTCAAATTATTTAAATGCATAAACAGTAACTTGATATCAATCGTAAACCGTCAATAGTCCTGTTAGCTCAGTGAATAGGAACATTGCATATAAATGGCGTATTACCGTAATGTTTCTGTTTTGGCGTGTCGTCAAAGAAATACTTCCTTTTATGTTCCTTCACTTACTTAAGACGATTGGAAGTTACGAGACCATCAAGCGATGTCAAGAACTCCCACTTAATATCTGTGTTATCTAAACCAATGACTAAAGCATGAACGAGCTAACTGTGATTTAAATTTAGATCAAAGTTGACAGTTGCATAGAAATCTTTCGATTTCATCCAACTGGTATTTTACAGATGCCAAATAGAGAAAATTAAATATACAATTTCAAACTGTTATTATTTGTAAAATTGTGTTGTTTTACGCTGAAGTCTGCAATTGCCTCACTGACTGGGAGTCTGACACGAATATAGGGCAGCCAAATCAATGGTTTGTAGATGGTCGAGATTTAACGCTCTCGGAGCAAGATGACACACAACCGGATCTGTCACAGAGTTGGACCACTCTTCCCGTTCTGGATCTTTGTATTTACACATTTACTGTTATTATTTCAAATACTACCCTGTCTATTAACTAGGATGATATACGATAGGTTTTACCGAAGAAATTCAAATACGTGTGGCCCAATTCTAATCTCGAGGATGGTACACACAAAACTAGATGTGATTTATCAAGCTTGTGAATATGTATGGCGAATCCTGTAACTTCATTTAAGATAAACGTCGGCACTTAAAATTATATTGTATACATATTCATTTTATTTTTATCTCCTGTATAATAGATGTGCTATGTATGAAGACATCCATAACGTTGTCCCTCCACCTATTTTAGCTACTGTAAATTCTCTTCATATATCCATGCATGAAGAAATGGCGTGAGTCTTAAAAACATTCTTTAGCTGCCAGAATATTTGATACCTAGCATAAATACGTTTCTCACAAATGAGAGGACACCAGGTGGTATCAATATAGATGACCATTGTGACCACTAAACACACAAAATATAGTTTTTTTCCAACAAGCATTTTTTAACACTAGTATAAATTTATTTTTAACATTAATCCCGTTCTTATTTCACTGGCATAGGTTTTTTTACGCCTAATCCAAAGTGCTTTGGCAAATAATCCAGACTAGTTTTAGGCGTTGGCGGTTTATATTTGAATGTTGTAAAATATGCAATATCTGTGCAGCAGTAGCATTGAACAAGGTAACTATCACACAGCGTATCCAAAAAATCAGACACCGCAGATCTTCGTATGTAGTTGGTAAAAAGGAATTACACCTGACTTAGTGAGGTGGTTCTACATTGATAATGATAAGCGTTGTTACATTTCACTTCCATTAATCGCAAAAACCTCTGCTGTCAAGTTTCCACTGGGGATTTTCCCTTTAAGTGCCATAGGCATGAACTATCCAATCGATTTGTCATACTCGAACAATTTGTGCTGTGCATAAAATGTTGCATTCTTTTTTATTATTTGGAGGCATTCAGCCCGGCAATGTTTAATATGGGATCCACATTTTACTGAGCGATGCAGTTTCTCATTGCTTGACGCAAACGGACTAAAAGCATTACGCTGTTCCCATGAGTCGTGGCGATTATAAACTATTCCTTCTCAAGAAATAATAAAATACTTAATGGACAAAGGAGGGTTGTATGAATGAAGGAACGTGTTTCATAAAATTGGAATTACAAGACAAGAAACAGTGATTTAACTTTTATCGTTTTGCTTCACACTTTGTTAAGCATTACATGGAGGTTGATGTTCCGTTTTTAGAGTGGATACTTTGGGTCAATCTCGACCTGGTTGTGGAAGGAATTTCCAGTGTAAATATTTGATATGAGCAGTTCCTAATGCAACTAATTTATGACGTGAGTGAATAAATGCGAAAGCAACAGCAGCTTGTTTCGTTCCCTGGAACCCATTTAACAGTAGTTCTGTCATTCCGCTGCTATCAGGGCAGTAGTCATTCTTGGGGTGGACGTAAGGTCATCGGGCAGGTGGACACAGTTAGGTCAGGTACATGTGTGTCTGAGGTGATGTAGGGTGTTTCCGCTATCAGGGCAGGTGGACACAGTTGAGTCAGGTGCATGTGTGTCTGAGGTGATGTAAGGTGTTCCTGCTATCAGGGTAATGTGGACACAGTTGAGTCAGGTGCATGTGTGTCTGAGGTGATGTAAGGTGTTTATGCGATCAGGGTAAGGTGGACACAGTTGAGTCAGGTGCATGTGTGTCTGAGGTGATGTAAGGTGTTTATGCGATCAGGGTAAGGTGGACACAGTTGAGTCAGGTGCATGTGTGTCTGAGGTGATGTAAGGTGTTTCTGCTATCAGGGCAGGTGGATACAGTTGAGTCAGGTGCATCTGTGTCTGAGGTGATGTAAGATGTTTCTGCTATCAGGGCAGGTGGACACAGTTGGGACAGGTACATGTGTGTCTGAGGTAATGTAAGATGTTCCTTCCTTCAGAGTGGGTGGACACGGTTGAGTCAGGTGCATGTGTGTCTGAGGTAATGTAAGGTGTTTATGCTATCAGGGCAGGTGGACACAGTTGAGGCGGGTGCATGTGTGTCTAAGGTGATGTAAGGTATTTCTGCTATAAGGGCAGGTGGACACAGTTGAGTCAGATGCATGTGTGTCTGAGGTGATGTAAGGTGTTCCTGCTATCAGGGTAAGGTAGACACAGCTTGGTCAGGTGCATGTGTGTCTGAGGTAATGGAAGGTGTTCCTGCTATCAGTGCAGGTGGACACAGGTGAGTCAGGTGCATGTGTGTCTGAGGTGATGTAAGGTGTTCCTGCTATCAGGACAGGTGGACACAGTTAGGTCAGGTACATGAGTGTCTGAGGTAATGTAAGGTGTTCCTGCTATCAGGGCAGGTGGACACAGTTGAGGCAGGTGCATGTGTGTCTGAGGTAATGTGAGGTGTTTATGCAACCAGGGCATGTGGACACATTTGAGGCGGGTGCATGTGTGTCTGAGGTGATGTAAGGTGTTCCTGCTATCAGGGCAGGTGGACACAGTTGAGGTCAGGTACATGTGTGTCTGAGGTAATGTAAGGTGTTCCTGCTATCAGGGCAGGTGGACACAGTTAGGTCAGGTACATGTGTGTCTGAGGTAATGTAAGGTGTTCCTGCTATCAGGGCAGGTGGACACAGTTGAGGCAGGTGCATGTGTCTCTGAGGTGATGTAAGGTGTTTATGCAATCAGGGCAGGTGGACACAGTTGAGTCAGGTGCATGTGTGTCTGAGGTGATGTAAGGTGTTTTTCTGCTATCAGGGCAGGTGGACACAGTTGCGGACAGGTGCATGTGTGTCTGAGGTAATGTAAGATGTTCCTTCCTTCAGAGTGGGTGAGACACGGTTGAGGCTGGTGCATGTGTGTCTGAGGTAATGTAAGGTGTTTATGCTATCAGGGCAGGTGGACACAGGTGAGTCAGGTGCATGTGTGTCTGAGGTGATGTAAGGTGTTCCTGCTATCAGGACAGGTGGACACAGTTGAGGTCAGGTGTTCATGGACATGTGTCTGAGGTAATGTAAGGTGTTCCTGCTATCAGGGCAGGTGGACACAGTTGAGGCAGGTGCATGTGTGTCTGAGGTAATGTGAGGTGTTTATGCAACCAGGGCATGTGGACACATTTGAGGCGGGTGCATGTGTGTCTGAGGTGATGTAAGGTGTTCCTGCTATCAGGGCAGGTGGACACAGCTAGGTCAGGTACATGTGTGTCTGAGGTAATGTAAGGTGTTCCTGCTATCAGGGCAGGTGGACACAGTTAGGTCAGGTACATGTGTGTCTGAGGTAATGTAAGGTGTTTATGCTACCAGGGCAGGTGGACACAGTTGAGGCGGGTGCATGTGTGTCTGAGGTGATGTAAGGTGTTCCTGCTATCAGGGGCAGGTGGACACAGTTGAGTCAGGTGCATGTGTGTCTGAGGTAATGTAAGGTGTTCCTGCTATCAGGGCAGGTGGACACAGTTAGGTCAGGTGCATGTGTGTCTGAGGTTATGTAAGGCGTTTATGCTATCAGGGCAGGTGGACACAGTTGAGGCGGGTGCATGTGTGTCTGAGGTAATGTAAGATGTTCCCTCCTTTCAGAGTGGGTGAACACGGTTGAGGCTGGTGCATGTGTGTCTGAGGTAATGTAAGGTGTTTATGCTATCAGGGCAGGTGGACACAGGTGAGTCAGGTGCATGTGTGTCTGAGGTGATGTAAGGTGTTCCTGCTATCAGGACAGGTGGACACAGTTAGGTCAGGTACATGAGTGTCTGAGGTTATGTAAGGTGTTCCTGCTATCAGGGTGGGTGGACACAGTTGAGGCAGGTGCATGTGTGTCTGAGGTGATGTAAGGGTGTTCCTGCTATCAGGGCAGGTGGACACAGTTGAGGCAGGTGCATGTGTGTCTGAGGTGATGTAAGGTGTTTATGCTATCAGGGCAGGTGGACACAGTTGAGTCAGGTGCATGTGTGTCTGAGGTGATGTAAGGTGTTCCTGCTATCAGGGTAAGGTGGACACAGCTGAGTCAGGTGCATGTGTGTCTGAGGTGATGTAAGGTGTTTCTGCTATCAGGGCAGGTGGACACAGTTGAGTCAGGTACATGTGTGTCTGAGGTGATGTAAGGTGTTTCTGCTATCAGGGCAGGTGGACACAGTTGAGTCAGGTGCATGTGTGTCTGAGGTGATGTAAGGTGTTCCTGCTATCAGGGCAGGTGGACACAGTTAGAGTCAGGTGCATGTGTGTCTGAGGTGATGTAAGGTGTTCCTGCTATCAGGGCAGGTGGACACAGTTAGGTCAGGTACATGTGTGTCTGAGGTAATGTAAGGTGTTCCTGCTATCAGGGCAGGTGGACACAGTTGAGGCAGGTGCATGTGTGTCTGAGGTAATGTGAGGTGTTTATGCAACCAGGGCATGTGGACACATTTGAGGCGGGTGCATGTGTGTCTGAGGTGATGTAAGGTGTTCCTGCTATCAGGGCAGGTGGACACAGCTGGGTCAGGTACATGTGTGTCTGAGGTAATGTAAGGTGTTCCTGCTATCAGGGCAGGTGGACACAGTTAGGTCAGGTACATGTGTGTCTGAGGTGATGTAAGGTGTTCCTGCTATCAGGGCAGGTGGACACAGTTGAGTCAGGTGCATGTGTGTCTGAGGTGATGTAAGGTGTTCCTGCTATCAGGGCAGGTGGACACAGTTGAGTCAGGTGCATGTGTGTCTGAGGTAATGTAAGGTGTTTATGCTATCAGGGCAGGTGGACACAGTTAGGTCAGGTACATGTGTGTCTGAGGTTATGTAAGGTGTTCCTGCTATCAGGGCAGGTGGACACAGTTGAGGCAGGTGCATGTGTGTCTGAGGTAATGTAAGGTGTTCCTGCATCAGAGCAGGTGAACACGGTTGAGGCTGGTGCATGTGTGTCTGAGGTGATGTAATGTAAGGTGTTTATGCTATCAGGGCAGGTGGACACAGGTGAGTCAGGTGCATGTGTGTCTGAGGTGATGTAAGGTGTTCCTGCTATCAGGGCAGGTGGACACAGTTAGGTCAGGTACATGTGTGTCTGAGGTAATGTAAGATGTTCCTTCCTTCAGAGTGGGTGGACACGGTTGAGGCTGGTGCATGTGTGTCTGAGGTAATGTAAGGTGTTCCTGCTATCAGGGCAGGTGGACACAGTTGAGGCAGGTGCATGTGTGTCTGAGGTGATGTAAGGTGTTCCTGCTATCAGGGTAGGTGGACACAGCTTGGTCAGGTGCATGTGTGTCTGAGGTGATGTAAGGTGTTCCTGCTATCAGGGCAGGTGGACACAGTTGAGTCAGGTGCATGTGTGTCTGAGGTGATGTAAGGTGTTCCTGCTATCAGGGCAGGTGGACACAGTTAGAGTCAGGTGCATGTGTGTCTGAGGTAATGTAAGGTGTTCCTTCTATTAGGGTGGGTGGACACAGTTGAGGTCAGGTGCATGTGTGTCTGAGGTAATGTAAGGTGTTCCTGCTATCAGGGCAGGTGGACACAGTTGAGGCGGGTGCATGTGTGTCTGAAGTAATGTAAGGTGTTTCTGCTATCAGGGCAGGTGGACACAGTTGAGGCGGTTGCATGTGTGTCTGAGGTAATGTAAGGTGTTCCTGCTATCAGGGCAGGTGGACTGACTGACTGACTGAGTTTGGTTTTACGCCGCTTTTAGCAATATTCCAGCAACATCACGCGGGGGACACCAAAAATTGGCTTCAAACATTGTACCCATGTGGGGATTCGAACCCGGGTCTTCGGCGTGACGAGCCAACAGGGCAGGTGGACACAGTTGAGGCGGGTGCATGTGTGTCTGAGGTAATGTAAGGTGTTCCTCCCTTCAGAGTAGGTGGACACAGTTAAGGCAGGTGCATGTGTGTCTGGGGGTGGACATAAGGCGATCCTGTCTTCGGGGCAGGTGGACACAGTATAGTCAGGTGCGTCTAGGATGATGTACGGTGTCCCTTCTATTAGGCTAGATGGACACAGTTGGGTCAGGTACATGTCATTGTATCCCAGTTGCGTAGATCGAGCTCATGCTGTTGATCACTGGGTTGTCTGGTCCAGAATCGACTATTTACAAATCGCCGCCATATAGCTGAAATATTGCTGAGTGGCGTAAAACTAATCTCACTCACTCACCAGACTTGACTCTGCACGTGTTTGTGACGGGTGGACCATGTTACGCTTACATTCACGCGACCATATGGTTTCACCAGTTTCAAACTGGGAACCTACCCATACTGTGTGATCAGTAAGATTAATTTTTCCAAAAAGTTCCCCGAATCAAATAATATCATCGCAGTCTCAATATATGTCATGATGTATTTTGCGAATGAAAATCTTGACTTGGTGTATGAGGCTTGTGTGTGACTGAACAACTTTCAACATCGCATCAACAGTTCCTTAATTATATCTGCCCAAGTCAAATAGTTTTATGGGTTCGTCCTTTTGATGCCTCCTGATTTGATTCACCCAGTAATACAACCAGTAATACGTTGACTTCCTCAATTACTGCGGGCACTCCGGTTGACTGGGTTTCGATAAATTCGATTTTTAAGGAACTCATGCAATAACCTGATTGCCTGAAACCGACCTCATCACATAGACCTGTTCCCCAACACAGTGATTCATGTAGCTGATGTGAGCTGGAATTACCACCCTTTTGAACAATTATTTAATTTAGGCAGTATGGATTAGTTCAGGTGGGAAAAAAGGCTCTTGGTTACGCGGAACAGATGTTTAATCCAAATATATTTTGCTAAATTTCTATGGTAATGGTCTTGACAAACCAATAATTATATAGTTGAGAATCTGAGATTCCATTTTGTGAAAGCCAAATGAAGGCACTATTGACAACGAATTGCAACGCCAAAGTCGACTGGGTCAGACATGTTCTTGTAGATCAAGATCTCAGTACTGCTGTGTGATATATTTAGTCACTTATGTCGGACCATCTCTCTGGGTGGGTGTGAAGATGATGGGTTAGCTATGACTGGCTAGACCGGATGCCAGGTGATCCTAGTATATCTGGGAATGTAGGAACAGTATATACACTATATGTTCGAGGTGTGTCGCTGCTTTAGCCGTAACGTGTTGAGGAGATGTTGTTCTTTCCATGCGCATTTTGACACCAATTATAAAACAATGAGAACACGACTATAACGAACATAGGCTGGTTTCACATGTTGATAATGTCAAGAAAACTATTTCATTAACCAGAATGCTCTCTCTCCATTCATAGGGTAGTTCGACATATTTTCTTGACACAGAGCAGCTCGACATTGTTTGTAACAGTGATGGACGTGAAGACAGCTACAATGTAAGATGGGTGACCTATACGATACCAAAAAGGAAGCGCAGAATTTTTACTAGTGAAGTTTGCAAACGCATTCATATATATTTTACGACGCTTCATTAAATACGTTGCTAGACCCTCGCTTATGTAATTGGTTGTTTCATATCTGTTCTGCGTGTGATTCAGTGCATATTTGTATGCGAAAGGACGTGTGTGTGCGCATTTGCGTACGCGATGTTTGTGTTTGTGTATGCAAGTTTACCACAGTTTTTGTGCCAAATTCAGACACAGTATTTGGCTTTCTTAAGAATATTTAGAGTGAGTTTGGTATTTTCTCTTCTAAGCGAGAGGTACGAACAATCAATTTTCAGTACCAATATACTCATCACAATGTTGGGTTCTACTTTTCCGAATGAGAACTTCATTTCGGCAATTTAGAGATGTCTCATCGTTGTCTTATATGAAACTTACAGTAACACATGTACTGACGGTTAAATGTACAACTAGGTAAGATCGAGTTACCTCCCTTAGATGGATCCACGTCAAAAATGGGTGACGCAGTTCCAAATTTTCATTTCTGCATGTTCTTGTGTTTTAGAAGGGAACAATTTAGGGGCCTGTGATTGTGGGGCAACTTTGTGGGTAGATCTGGTATCAGTAATCTTTGTTGGTGCTTCATGAACACGGCCTAATGAATCAGATGGATGACAACGTCCAATGCAATACACAAAACGTTACATATGCTTTACATTATTCATCCACCAATTTCTAGAATGCCCATCAAACAATGGCCCAATGATACAGTTGTAATCGTACAGAGGACTGCTCTCCTTGTGAGATCAGTTCTTGTTTACTGATGATACAGTTCCTATCGTTCAGGTTTTTCAGCTATTTTGTCTTTTACGCACTATAGATTTGGTTGTAGCGTATAATATCTTCTGGCGAAGACATTTTATACTGTATATTTGTACAATAGCATGAGTGTGGGTCAATACCTAGTATCTTTTTGTGCAATAATGTGTAACAATGCACCACGATTGACATCAAACTTTTAACTTCCCATGATTGGACCCTCCTAAACATATTTATTGATTATCTAGGCAATGGTGATAATGCACTCTAGATACGATCCAAGAACATCCTCTCACAGGGACGACTCTCCGCGGGAAATTTGACACTTATGACTTGACATGATTGAAATTGCTTCAACTAACAGTCCCTACATTGTATATTTTTTCAAACACTTAAATAGAAGCGACAAAACCTTTTCATATTTGGAAAGGCTAAGACAAATTCCATCGAATTAGCTCAAAATATCATTCATTGTAAAGCGTACAAGATATATTCAGTGCATTTAGGTGCCAATTTCAGTTATTTGTCTGTTCGAAGAGAACAAGTTAAATATGTGATTTAGGAAATTTAAGTTATCCTGACAGAAAAGATTCTCTGGAGACTACAAAACTAGCAAACTACAAACCTGTGCAAAGAGGCAACACAAGCGCAAAGAAGACCTTTCCAAAGATCAACATTATGATGGAACTTGAAAGTGAGAAACAGTGGGGCCTTAACTGTACTTGTATTATAAGTACCTACACGTTCAAATACTACATCTTCTACAACGTGGGAGGAGGTTGGGGCAACACAGCGGTCGTTGACAATATACTGCTTACAATAGGCTTCCGACTGGTTGACTAAATGTCACCTGTCCTGTGATATGAATACAGGGCACGATTTATTGATAACAACTTCTTGTTTCTTCTTATTTTGTTCATGTGATAGTTTCTATTTTCTCTGCATAAGTCCAAACATACATCCCCTGTCAACATTAGGCAATCCGAGATATAGCTGAGTGTCATCAGCGTAGAGGTGATAGCTGAAATCAGAAAATCGGAAAATATCAACAGTTCCTTGTCTCAAAACCATCTCTTTAAACGAGCATTCGACTAAGCACACGTGAGCAGGAATCTGGATATGTAGCGCTATACAAATGTCTAATTTGATTGATTAATTTGATTGATTGAACTCTCAGTAGGTTACACGACCGAAACTCGTAGTATCTTTAGAAATTACTTAAATTGCTAATGACAGCATTTTCACTTGATATTCGATTAATATTCAATCTGTAAATGTTTCTTTGACTGTTTGATGTTCAGATGCCTGTATCGGAATAATCACAATAGTCTATTTGCTAATAGACAACCCTAGTGGTTACATAACTTGGTCTAATCTGTTTCGTTTTTCTTGTTTGACGCCGCACTCGGCAATATTCCACCTATATGGCGGCAGCCTGTAATTCGAGTCTGGAGCAGGGAATCGAGTCATCAACATCCTGAGTATCGACCTACACTATTTGGATATGATGACATGTGTCAACCAAGTAAACGAACATGACCACCCGATCCCGTTAGTTGCCTCTTACGACAAGCGTTTTTTTATAGTTACTTCTCGAAAGTTTAAGTCAACGATAATGCCAAAAAGGACTGACTGACTGACTAAGTTGTGTTTTACGCCGCTTTTAGCAATATTCCAGCAATATCACGGCGGGGGACACCAGAAATGGGCTTACATATTGTACCCATGTGGGGATTCGAACCCGGGTCTTCGGCGTGACGAACCAACGCTTTTACCACTAGGCTACCCCGCCGCCCCTGCCAAAAAGGAAAGTACAGCATTTTGTGAGAACAAAACGGCGACAAAAAAAGAGCAGAGGAAAGCGAGCGAATGATATGACATACAGAATGACCTGTTGGCCTTCAACTCTGAAAATATACCGACTCAGTAACTGACAATTGACATGTACAAACAGCGTTCTCATGGCTCGGATATCACACTGTAAAACACACAGCATGCACACAATGCATGTCATGGAATTGGTCCGTGACAAATATTGTAAATGTGATGACACTTTCTTAGTAAAGTTCACATGCTAGTATTTTTAGGGGTTGAGTCTCAAACTCAAACTCACGCTCTCGGAATAGAAGGACTGGTTGTTTTTATCACCTACTTTAACTTTGAACAATTTGATTTGAGGAGCTTAATTATATTTGTCCACGAGTTGGGGTTAGTGCGTATGTGTTTCTTTAGCTCCCTTTGTGAGATTCATATATGGAGTCCATAGGCAAAAATCCTCAAGCCTCAATCCTTTATTATTAATATTTACATAGTATGTTCAACATTTGAAATACTCCATCACAAATAAATCAATTTTAAAAATTCAATTCTTACACAAATGTTCCTTTAAAATCTTAATTTGTTTCGAATTATATAATGATGTCAGAGCCATATTAGGCCTAAATTCTGGGTAAATGGTAGGATATATGCACAAATACGAATTTATAATTGACAAATCATGTTAATGTTGTTACAACTGATTTTATGTCTCGTGGAGAGAACTATGTTGTATGATTACAGGAATAGAGGAATGTGCTCTTATGCCTACCTCAGAAGTAAAACAGAACATCGTTTTCTTTTCAGTTCAATCTATTTTGATAGTAGGATTGTGTCTTACGATTGTAAGACGTGGTTGTCAATATTACTGATTCATGAATAATTTACTAGCTGTATGTTAGAGGCGTGGGTCCATATTTGCTCAAAATATTGAACCACAGAGCATCGTCTCACGTTGTTAGGTCATTTCATTTTCCTTGTTTGTAGGTATAAGGCAGTTACTACGTGCGATATTACCCAACAAACTGTATACATCAAAGTGAAAAGGAAAATGTGGGTCCACACATTTTAACTCTATAAAGATTTTTGTTGAAACTACAGATTTTAGCATTTTCCCACAGAAAATATAGGAACTAGAGACATTTGTGGTGTGAGAGTGAAACAATATTTCTCAAGATTTCTTCTAGAGACATGTTCTCTTAATGAGACGTCAATATCATGCATGTATTGTTTTCTGAAGTGACTTACCGGAGAGGGTACCTAAGATCATATCTTCCAAGGCATATGTATTTCTGCCAAATAAAATCTTAGTATTATGGTGGAGTGATACATTTGAGGACGTGTATGTAAGAGGTTAATTTGCAGCAGGTTTTCGTTAGACACTTCCCATGTGCCACACGACATGCTCCCTAATGTACAATGTTCACTTGGATTTGCAGATGCAAAATTCCATTTCTTGAAAATGACACCTATGCAGTTCAAGATGATTATCCCGAGCAGCTCATTGAAATGTTTATCCTCAAAGTCGGAGACTCCTATTCCACGTGCACTCTGAACGACGTCCACAACAACAGTTCTCGTGCTGATACTAACAACACCCAACTCACCTGTGATGCCTGGGTGTACGACAAATCAGTCATACAATCCTCAGGTCCTACAGATGTAAGTTGCTGTGACACTCAGCTTATGTCCACCCATGTGATCATGAACGTATACCATATACCAAAGAAAATATGCACTTGAAAATTTAGTGTCATGCACTGAAAAGAGTCACCTGAGTCACGCATTATCCCATATGATATCTAATCCAGTACATCACTATCATATAACTAGTTCGTGTTGGTAACATGTGTTGCAACAATTGAAAAACAGAGAAGCACACTTTATTTTTCCCCAGCAATTTATCTTCTATAGAACACTGCGTAAAATCCTGTTATGCCTCTTGGACATTTGCATATTTTCAAGGGTGTTGTGTTGCTATTCAATTCATATTGTGTCTAGTTTTACACATGGCATGCCTGGAAGGTCATGTGTCACGTGTGTGAGAGTGTGAGAGACTGAATGGTTAGTGGGTTAATATTTAAGTCACAGTTGCAGTATGTGAGCCATATCGTTACTAACACAAGGTGTTCAAACACAAAAACCTGTCAATAGAGGACAGTATAAGAACTAAGATATAAAACTAGTAACTAATCCTTGGAAATGACAGTGTGGTTTAACAATCTATATAGTAACATTCTAGGAATATCACGGCATGACAAACCAGGAATTGATGGCAATCCTTGCATCAATGTTGACTCTTTATCGAACATTCAATCGCTTAACAGGAAAACGGTTTATCAAATGGTTAAAGGCTTGTATCATATAATTCTCGGCGTTCAATTTCACACACAGACATGTCCTGCAACAGTTCATTCCTTATGTCGTTTACAGTTCAACATGGTCTGCGACAATGAGATACTACGTTCCCACAGCAACATGATCGACTTTGCAGGGGGCTCTGTTCGGAGCGCTTGTTTGTTGACCCCTAGGGGACGTGTAAGACCTAATATCCATGTTGTACACCAGTAATCTGTCCTTACAGCCTGAACCCATATACAATAGGTGGATGAGCATTTAACTTTCTCCAAAACCATTTTTTGTCAGACTTATGCTAACTTGTGTTATGTTACTTTATGATACTTTATTTTATTGATTGTAGTATGTATATGTTTATTTTCGTTTTAGGTTCGGAAGAAAGAAACTGTTAATCGTGACTGTCGTAATTAACTCGGTAGTCAACGTTGCCATTGCCCTGAGCACAGACTTTGCAGTATTTGCTGTGCTCAACTTCATAATTGGATTTACTGGAATGGCTGTGTTTATGCTGACATTTGTTCTAGGTGAAGGCATTCTAATTTCACAGTTGATTTCTCTGCTTTGATATCATGACATCTAAACAATGTTATAATGAAGAATTATAAATAGTTGAACAATTATTTATTTGTGTCTTATGGAAGCGCATGCCTCTGCCATCTCACATTACATCAAGATAAGCGGCTGTTTCTCGATCATTCCTGATAGCCTGATCCCACTATGGAAATTTGAGCTTGATGAATATTATCGTCACTGACTTTAATATTTCCATTCAAACTGACTTTGTCACTGTATTACCGTTGAATGTGTCCTTTCGCTATAATCTGTACACCCATATTGTACTGTCTTTGCAGTTTGCAAATCAATCCTCAGAATTTCTCGTGCCGCTTTTGTTTGTTCCTTGTACATCACTCTAATACTGTTTTGGCAGCAATGGAATTCGTTGGACCATCTAAAAGGACATTTACCGGTATGGTGATCGAATACTTCTGGACGGCTGGGTTGTTGCTACTTACTGGGCTGGCATATCTAGTTCGGAAGTGGCGACATCTTCGATTGGCGTTGGGCATACCTCCAATCCTGTTTGTGGTGTATTGGAGGTGAGGTAATCTTTAGCTGTTTAGTGCGTCACTACTATAATTCTTACCAAATGAAAGCAAACAACTTATCTTTGAACTTATCTGAGTCACTGGTGAGTGAGTGAGTTAATAGTTATCGTCACATCGGCTATATTGCAGCCATAGCGTGACGAGAACAATTTATAATTATATTTTAGATCGATAAAATTAGAAATTCAAATCCTGTTGACGAAGAACAGTAAAACTACTAGTGTATCACAGATAGAGCTATAAAACTAGCATGTAGCTAAAACTTAAACCATTCTGCAGGACAATACGATATAAAAACGGGCTATAGATCAGCAGCAACTGAAGGTAGATCGCCATATTAGAGACACAAACACAAAAATACTGCGTTTTAAAAATTCGGTAAGCTTAATTTACCTTGAATGTTTAGGGACTTACGTACCCCCACAGGAGGACAATAATTTTACAATACTTCAACCCCCTGTGAAGATACAGCCATTCAGAATCTCAGCTGCTAATCAAACTGCCAATAATAAAATATTTGTCTATTTAGAAATCATTTATCAAAATTTATGTAACAATTCAAAATCTTTTAAAACTGCAAAAATCAAATGAAAACTGACGACGGTAGAAAGATCCTGAACTGTTTTGACATTGACTGAGTCACTGGTAACCACATAGTTATTATCGCGCATTTATATCTGATCGGTTCTACACACATACAGGTTTATACCAGAGTCACCAAGATGGCTCATATCTCGGGGGCGCACTGCTGAAGCCAGTGCGATAATACAGAAGATTGCAACGTCCAAAAAGTTTCTCTGAGAGATAACATAATGGCTGAGCTAACGTTTGAAGAAAACGACCAACAAATACGACTGTGGAGAATGTGTTCAAGTCTTGTTCTTCTACTGAGATCTGCCGTCGTGTTCTTCAACTGGTATATGTATTCTTCCATCGCTTGTAATCATATATTAATGATAGGATCACATGCATTTACTTTATGTTCGTTTGTTTGCTTTTTTCTCTTCAAGTGAGACAGAGAGATCAGTTATCGAAACATATAGTTGTTAGAGACAGTAGTTTTTAGGAATTCATGTAAAGATCTGCCCTTTTGGGATTATATGAGTGATTCCCCTGTTGAAATTACTTACACATGAGACAATTAATAACAATGATAATAATTATGTCCATATGTATATTGTTTTCTTTGATTGTTGGGTGGGTGGGGAAGGGGTGGTGGTGTTGGTTGGTAAAGTGTAGTAACGTCTTTTGCAAGTGAACTTTATGCATCTGTGCAGTTTGCCTCTGTTGTTCCCAAATCAATAATATCATCCGTTAATTATTGTTGGATTTGATTTTGTTAGATGCCATGCATTAATTTCAGGTTTGCCACCAACTTAATCTTCTACGGCCTAAGCCTGAATGTGGGCAACCTGAGCGGTGATATCTATCTCAACTTCTTCATATCCTGCCTGATGGAACTACTTGGAATTATATTGTGCCATGTTCTAATGAATAAAGTTGGGAGGAAGACAGTGCTCTGTTCCTCCATGGTCCTCGGGGGCTTAACGTGCATATCTTCTTTGTTCCCGCTGATTTATGGCAACTCTTGTAAGACATTATTCCATTTCATGGCTGTTAAGATGACCGGTTGTACTAACATTGTTATAACATAGGAATTAATTAATTAATTACGTCAAGCTCGAAATGCGTGACTCGTATGGCAACATTGTGTAGTTTGCAAATATGGGTAAAAGATGAGTCCAGATATTTCTTCTTGCCAAAACTCCTTTATCCTCGCAAGATCTTCGCCGTTCAACTGCTCTTCAGGTGTACAATGAAAACTAAGTATCTATGTATTCATAACCGTGCCAGTTTCGCCCCTTGAACTCTTCACCTGCAGTATCCACAGTGTTTCAACTAAACATTTCTTCTTTCAATAGGAAAATATATTTTGTACAGCTCGCCTTACTATTTCGAAACTCATGACCTTTTCTACCTTTCGCCTAAAGCTACAGGATGGACACTGATAGCAATCACCATGGCTGGTAAACTAGGTGCTACTGTTGCATTCTCAGTCATCTACATCTTCTCTGCGGAGTTGTTTCCCACGACTTTGCGACAGTCCGCTATGGGGTCCTGCTGCTTGTTTGAAGGCGTGGCTGGCATGGTTGCACCATATATTGCTGACCTGGTAAGACAATGTACAAATGCAATGTTTACAGGCATAAACACCGACGTCACATGCAGAAGATATGAAATCTCACTTAAAGAGGTGAGTAGAGGTGAAATTGGGTTTAACGTCGTGCTCATATGACGACGTGCATGGGTGTGTGTGTGTACATGCGGCTGCTTGTAATAGCCCAGACTTAAGCTGGTTATATAGTGCTAGCCCACTGAGATACCATGCCGCAGTGAAGCATGAATACCCGACTCAGACGCATTATACTGACTCTGAGCCGACCAGTCCTTGTTGTACCCAGTAATGCCGAGCGCCAGGCAGGGACCAACAAGTACCGTATTTTAACGTCTTTTGTTATGACGCCACTTTAAAGAAGGTTCTGAAAGAAAATGCACTTTTTCAAAATAGATCACCCCAAAATAACGTTTAGATGATATGTTTATCCTACCCTATGTGTCTATAAAATCCCGTTGCTGTACAATGAAGCGTGTTTTTCATACAAAACCATATCTGATTAATTATTGATATTAAGTTTGAATAATTTATGTGTTGTCAACTGATTCAACGTTCCAAATAATGAGTGAGTTTAGTTTTACGCCGCACTGGCGATATTCCAGCTATATAGCGGCAGTCTGTAAATAATCGAGTCTGGACCAGACAATCCAGTGATCAACAGCATGAGCATCGATCTGCGCAATTGGGAAACGATGACTTGTGTCAACCAAGTCAGCGAGTAACAAGTATTGGTTACTGAAGATCAATTCTAACCCGGATCGTCACGGTTTCCAAATAATGAGCGAGATAGACAATGTTCATATATGTGAAATTCACATATGCCAACTGTCTTCATGCTGACTGTACATTCCAAAATCAATATCAAACACAAATAAATTCAATATAGGCTCGTAGCTGCTACCACCTCGTGAAAATGGATTTCACAAGACTTTGGAATATTGAAAGTGATATTGAAATCACTAGGATATATAACCTAAGTTCGTAACCTTTGTTGGGAATATTATTTTGACCGATACTACCTTTCATTTACTCTTTTTAGGGCATCCTCGCCAAAGGACCGCTACAAGACGTTCTGCCACTTTTAGTGTTTGGCTCCCTCTCAATAGCGGCCGGAATGATGGCCATCATGTTACCGGAAACACGTGACAAAAAGCTACCGGAAACAATAGATGAGGCTATCTTGTTTGGAAAACCTACTCCACGTCCAGATCAATACTCTTTGGTACAAATAAATCAAGGAAGTCAACTCTTAGACATTAGTATAACATAGACATTTTCTTGAAAACCAACATGACGTAGAATTGACAGATTTGGTAGAAATATTCCTGTGGCACTTCACTTCTCCAAGAAACTTGTATTCTTGTAAACTTGTATATTGAAGGTGTATTCCTGTGGCGGTTGGTTTGAAATACTTCCCCAAGCCTAAAACATATATTACAACTGACTATCTCTCCATTTGGGGACTTAGACCAGTCTTCACTTGATATGATATCGGTCGATAACCTTCAAATAGTCTTCCACTCATGTACCCACCTTAACTTGCAATAAAGGAGACCAATTCGAACGTCTCTCCTTTTTCATGTTTAGTAATATGCATAACCATTAAGAAAAACTCTCCGCAAGACTGCATGACAAGACGTATGCCAATGTTCTCCAGTAATTGCAACGTTGATGTTAGCATGTCACTACTCTCCAGATACACTCAAATACTCTTTCTACCACGATGTTAAAGGGCGTCAGAGACTCTTGCTCAGAGAATATGTGATCAGTGTTACTGCAGTCTATCTTCAGTAAAGCTTTCAAACATGTTTATGTTAGACATTGGGAGGACTTGTCCAAATCTGGTGCATCTGATTTTGAGGAGCTCTTGGGAATTTGAACTTTATCCACGATGCATGTCACATGGTGGAAGGACTGACACTCTCAATGCTACCCTCAGGTGTAGAGTCATCCTGTGTTGATTCTGCATCCGAGCGGTGCTGAGGAGGAGAGAAGGTAATTTCCCTTCTCGTCTTTATTATCAGATGGGTCGTCAAACAATATATCGGTTTCCACCATTTGGAGCATCAGAGTCTATCTTGACACCACGTATGACCTCGATAATGAATCAAGTCAATGATAAGACTTAGATCTCTGAATCATTTAGTAGAGCTCTGGGTATGCTATGGTGTATATTCCATGCACGGTTGTATACTAAACCGAGAAGGCCATTCATGTTTCGAACGCGATAGAAAATCTGGATCCAAAAGATTACACAAACTAGATGAGGGAAGACGTATTCTTCGCAGAGAAGACTCGGGAGCTGATCATAGAGCATCCTGTAGCGTGGTGTTCATGGTCTGTAAAATGGGCTAAAATCCACGGGCAACGGGCAACCATATGCATGTGAAAAATACGCAGTCATGTCCGAATGCGCGCGTAAAATCAAATCTCTGAATTATCAGCAACGAGACCGGCAATAGAGGTTGAGTAGTGATTGGCGAAATAGTGTCTTGACTGAATTAATGTTCCGAAGGAGTAGGAAGCTGCCAAGGAAGCGTGGGAGGCAGGAGTACGCCAGATTGGGCAGAGGGATGGTTTTGGCGAATGCGGTGGAGGTTTATGTAATTGACATATGGACTAAGGCTTGGAAATCCAAAGGCTGATACAATGCTAAAGGACCCTGTGTATGCAGATGCCACGGTCGGGTATAGTCGTCTGCGAAGGGATCGCCAAACTGGCTACTCGAGTTGATGCAGACGCTTGTAGACATTAATAATCGGATCAGGTCACCAGGGAATTCCTCTAATTATCAACTGATATCTTTGACCAGTTGTTTTGCAAAACTATCGAACTAATGGTAAACAATCGACTACTGTGGTACGCGGAATAAACACTCCGGATCCAATGAGGATCTAATATCTCAACTCATGAGTGATTTTAATAACCTAAATAGGTGGGGAAGGCTATTGTCATTTATCATCCAAAATTGTGTTCCACAGTAGATGTTGCTTGTGTGAGATCAAACGGTATCTCCTAGCAGATATCGTTTTGACAGTAGATTTTGTACAATGCCCTAACTAAGGTATGACGTCATACATTTGATGACGTCACAATGCTATGGCATCGCTGCACTGCAAGTCTAAACGCAGTACCGTGTTCAGAGATGTACATTTTTATTGAAAACTAATGAAGAGTGATTTTTATGATAAATAGAATCTCACCCTCGTGTCTTCTGATAACAAATATATCAATACTCGTTGATAAAAGTAAAAATATCCTCGGCAAGCCTCGAATATTTTTATCAACTCGTGGTGATATATTTGATATCAAAAGACACTCGGGTGAGATTCTCCGTATCTTTACTGGGCGTCTCAGTATGAGAATGAAGATGTTTCTACAAAAGTTAATCTAGTAATGAGCTTCGATCTTCGGGTTGGTTTTACCGTGCAGATCCGGGTTAGAATTGATCTTCCGTAACCCATGCTTGTCATACGAGTCGACTAACGTGGTCGAGTGATCAGGTTCGCTGACTTGGTTTCCTAATTGCAAAGATCGATGCTCATGCTGTTGATAACTGCATTATCTGGTCCAGACTCGATTATTTACAGACCGCCGCCATATGCCCAGAACGTTGTACTAAGCAACAGGGAAACAAAGCAACAAAATTTACAAGATGATGCCATTCCCATAACCTAATACATCTGATGGAGCTTGCCTGCACTCAAGTTGGACGTGTTATTACCTTGTAAGAGCCACGACGTTGAAATTTGACATGAACACGAAGTCCCGCTAGTCTCGTTTTGTGATGAGAGAGGGAATGTTCGGAGGGATCCCATATCAGACTTCAGCTACAGCTAAAGGTTCCATATGAAGCACCTGATGACGAATATCAGCCATTCCAATTCCATGGCAGACGGGGGTAACCCAAATTCAATGAATATGCTCCTTCTGCAGGACAGCAAGCCAAACAGAGGACAGTCGACAGGGGGCGGGCAGACATGTTTTGTAACAGCGATGGGCGAAGGCACCTACTGTCCTGTGACGATACGATACAATACGATACGAAATTGGAAGTGCTGGCTTCTAAAAGATCCTTCACACACACGCCTGTTGGAATCTGTGAACGTAATGAAAGTGTGTGTGGGTGCTCGATGTGTGCATTTGTGAGTTCGAGTTTAAGTACAACGGACTTGTGTGCATTGCGAATTATTTGAGTGCGTGACATTTTGAGTACACATTTATCAAACTAATATTCCCTGAAGTACACACATTAGGGACGGTTCATATCAACTCAGCTTTTGAAATATTCCGACAGTTTGAACATGTTCTCTCAGCTGCTGGGTTTTTACAATAACCTGCTTTTGCAACATGTACAGAGCGATTCAATAACGGAACATAAATAAGCAGTTCTATGCGACCGGGTGATAGACCAGCGGAGAATCAGTACTAAATAGCATTGCTTACAAACAGTTAAGTAACTCAGTATAGACAAATATTCGCGCACTGTAAGCATATACTGTTAGAAACTTACACAAGTACAGGTGCAGCGTGCACTACTGAGCACGAGGTCGAAAATATTTCAAATATAATATTGAAGTACATGTTTTTAGTTTTTTAGATATTTTTATCATTGTTAATATTGTCGACAATCGAAATATGGGAATAATACTACACTGACGTGCACAATTAGGATGAACTTTATCGAATATCGTAAACAAAGAAACATTGGAATAATTTTAATAAAAACTAGCATTGCATTTTGACATCGAAAGAAGAATGTAGAAAAACACCTGTCGGAATTGTCATATCAAATATAGTTGTGACAGATAACATTGAGGAATACCGTGTCATTATGTTTCGTACCAACTTTTTTTATAGCAAGAAATCCTGCATGCAGTGAGAACATGAATATGGTATTAATTATTGCAGATATCATCCTACACACAGGCTAATGATTTTTATAAGGACACATCGCTCGATGACAACAACGGGAGTTGGTTTGTCGTCGACACACAAAGCGTGCATCCTCATGTTTAAGTCTGAAAACCTGATTGTATACGTTAAGTTTTCAGAATAGCTGTTCGCAAGCCATCGGATTCAGAATTATGAAATTTGACGAACTCCTGGAGGAAATCGGGGAATTTGGTCCCTACCAAAAGCGGATATACTTCCTGGTGTGCTTAACTGCCATAGTTGGGGCTTACCAATCAATGTCACCTGTCTTTCTCTTGGAGATAACTAATTACAGGTGAGTCGATAGATAGATCAAAAGGAGGTATGCTTTTGACATTTCACCCAAAAGATAAAAAAATTGTCAATCTGTCAAATCAGTCGCCAAAACACCATCCAATGTCATGTTTCTAGCCACTATCACACATGAATGTATATTTTCTATCTCCTGCATTTTATATACAATTCGTATTTGTTTTCTCATCCACAGTGCACGTCGTTTTGCAAGTGAAATACTCTTGAATGCAACGTTACGCACAAGCATACTCCAACCTGAAACATGTGTAACACATTAAGAACGTAAAGAGTTCATAATTACGATAGCCTGTCCTTCAGACCTAAGCGACTTCCAAATCAAACTTAGAATGATTTGGCAAGTCTACATCTCCTGAAAATACTTCATACTCTAAGCTCCAGCGACATTTGTCCATTCATTGAAAATTAACTCTCAAGTCCACTTCAAATTCGGTTGTGTCACATCTTTGAGGAGCGAGCCTTAATCAAAGACACTTCACCTGTGCCGAATGTTCAATGTTTCACTTGGATTTGCAGATGTAAAATTCCATTTCTTGAGAATGACACCTATGCTGTTCAGGATGACCATCACAAGCAGCTCATTGAAATGTTTATCCCCAAATTGGCGGACGCCTACTCCAAGTGTACTCTGTACGACGTCCACAACAACAGTTCTCGTGCTGATGGTAACAATTCCCAACGCACCTGTGATGCCTGGGTGTACGACAAATCAGTCATACAATCCTCGGGTCCTGCAGATGTAAGTTGTTATGACATTAACAAGTGATGAACATACACATATATATTACAGTCGGATGAAGTGGCTATTGCATTACGTGTCTGGCAATAGAAAGTATACACTAGAAAACTGCATTTAACCATAACATTACTGATGTATTTAGACTGAAACATTCGCCTAAATAAATATAACATGATAAATGTATTATGGTACCTATAACATATACAAGTTTATATTATATATAGAATACTGCATATAATCTGCATAAGTCTTCGGTACACATCATCGTTTCAAGGGTGATGTGTTGTGATTGAGCTCAGCCATCCAATGCAACCATGAGTTTATAATATAACGTGACAGGCAACAGAAGATACACACCATGAAGTTGAATTTAGCGAAACGTTCCTGACATACATAGACTCAAAACAGTCGCCTCTTTTAACATACCTGTTGATATGATGCACGTATTATCGCTAAGAAACCTATACATATCATCAAGTAAATATTTCGTGTTTCTTTATTTATCGAAACTATAAGTTTATATAAACAACACATTGATCTGCACACTTTGTCCAACAACAGTTTGTTATATGCAACACTCTATATATTCTCTATATGCCTCATGCACTTTTTCATATTTGCAAGGGTGATGTGTTTTCATTCATCTAGTTTGTACATTCGGTTTTACTAGATGCCAAATCTGGGCACGTCCTGTTTCATGGATGTGGAAGTGAGTATGGTTCAACAAAGCCTTAAGTAACATTCCAGGAGTATCACGGCGGTGTACACAACACGGGGTCCTACATTATACCAATGTGATGAATCCACCCCGGGCTTTCGACGATATTACGACTGAACGCTTTATGTTATTTACAGTACTAGGCTGCCTAATCTGCCCGAGTCTTTATCGTACATTCAAATCGTTGAACACAGCATTGGTTTATTATAATTAAATGGTGGATGTCTTGGCTCCTCTGATTATCCGCATTTGATTCCACACACATACCTGTCCTGTGCACTACAGGCGGCATTTGGTTAATTATAGTTTCCAACGGAATTCCTCTCATTAAAAAATTAAAAAATTCTGGAGTTTGAAATTATATCACGAATGTTACTCTCTCGGGAAAAACCTATTACAAGAAAGGCTTCTAAATTGTCTCTCCTCATTTACAAATAACTCTATAATGATACAATTTGTAACACATCGTGCTATAAATAGATTACCTGTATTAAGGATACATTTGACAAAATTGGAATGATTTATATTTGGGCTACAAAGGCATATCCTAATACAAATAGTCGTAAAGCACTTGTTGAAAACAGACTGAAAGAAATCAATCTAAGGACTTGGATATCAAATACAGAAAACTCTTCAAGAAGAGTTATTTACATTTTCAAAAATTCGTAATTGAAATACGAGGTGAGGCGAGGTGAAATTTGGTTCAACGTCGTGCTGGAGAATATTTCGCTCACATGACGACGTGCATGCATGTGTATGTGTATGTGTATGTGCGGCTGCTTGTACTAGCCCAGACTTAAGCTGGTTTTATAGTGCTAGCCTACTGAGATACCATGCCGCAGTGAAGCATGAATACCCCAATCAGACACATTATACTGACTCCGAGCCGACCAGTCCTTGCTGTACCCATTAATGCCGAGCGCCAGGCAGGGACCAACACGTACCATATTTTAACGTCTTTTGGTATGACGCGGTCGGGGATCGAACCCGCGACCTTCCGCCCTCCGGGCGGACGCTCTTACCACTACACCACGGAGGCCGTCTGAATTGAAATACGAAATCTATTTGAATTTAGTACATAATAATACTCGGAGGACGTTACTTACTTTCAGAATCTCAAACCATTACCTTCCAGTTGAAACAGGATGACAGTTGAAACACCCCAAAATGAAATATTATATTCTCTTTGTTTGCTCTACTTTGGTCCTAGGAAGGAAAATATATATCAACAACTATTACTTTAGAAACCCAAATATGCACAAAATGAATAAGCTTTTTCACTCTAATAAACGAAGAACAGTTTCGAGCTTAGCAATATTTTGCAAAATACTGATAACGCCCAAAAAAGAAAAACAATGACGCAGGAGTGTAACTGGTTAAATGCATGTACAGACATAGTTTATTCTTCCAACCAAGTAAAATGTTTGCACTTGTATCATCCATGTATATAACATATACACGTTGTACATAATAATGATGGAAACGTGTACCTCTAATGCACCGCGGCCAGAGTGCAAACAGAGTGCAGTTCAGCATCCACAGTAAACAATATTGAAGTCTGTTTACATCTTATGTTCTTTACAGTTCAACATGTTCTGCGACAATGAGATTCTACGTTCCCACAGCAACATGATCGACTTCGCAGGGGCTCTGATTGGTGCTCTTGTTTGTGGACCCTTGGGGGACAGGTAAGACCTAATATCCATTTTGTAGACCACGACTCTCTACTTACTCTCTGAACCAAATACAATAGATGTCTGAACATGCAACCTTCTTCAAAGCTATTTTCAGACCACTGCTTCAGATTATGTGGACGTAAGGCCTTCATGTCATTGTTTGCACTATGTATGCTTTCTTGTTTAGGTTCGGAAGAAAGAAAGTGTTGATTGGCACTGTCGTAATGAACTCTTTACTCAACGTTGCCATTGCCTTGAGCACAGACTTTGCAGTATTTGCTGTGTTCAACTTCATGATTGGATTCACTGGCATGGCAATGTTTATGCTGACATTTGTCCTAGGTAAGAGCATTTTGTTTTACCTTTGACGTTTCCGTTTTAACATTTTGAGATCTACACAATGTTACAGGGCAGTGTTGTCTAATGTAAACTAATTTTGTAAGTGTATGACATAGAAACACTTGGATCTGAGATGTCACATTACATCAAGACAAGCGCCTATCTGTCGATTGTCCTTTCACTCTTGATAGCCTGGGAGTGATCATATTGTTGCTGACAGGTGAAAATTACTAAATATATTGCTATTCCGATGTAGTTCTAATTCATACTGTCATTGGGGGCGGTGGGTAGCCTAGTGGTTAAAGAGTTAGCTCGTCACGCCGAAGAGCCGGGTTCGATTCTCCACATGAGTATAATGTGTGTAGCCCATTTCTGGTGTCCCCAGTCGTGATATTGCTGGAATATTGCTCATACTGATTGTATTACTGCCACTGAATTTCTGTTTCCGCCCAATTTTGTGCACTTGCTTTGTATTAATTTGTATGTATTTGTAAACTGTGTACCATTTGTTCAGGTTTTCATGGTTTAGAACTACATTATTTGGAGTGTAGATTTCTGGATCAGATTTCAGCTTGTGATAGGAAACAACATATGTTTATTCAGTGCCAACATTTATGATACTAATTCAAGAGAACGATCATCACCTTTATACTGTTTTTGACAGCAATGGAATTCGTTGGACCATGTAAGAGGACATTTGCCGGGGTAGTGATCGAATACTTCTGGACGGCTGGGTTGTTCCTACTTACAGGGCTGGCATATCTCATCCGGCAGTGGCGACATCTTCGATTGGCTTTGGGCATACCTCAAATCCTGTTTGTGACATATTGGTGGTGAGGCTGTTTTGTCTTTCACTGCCTAAACATACAAATGAAAACAAACCTCTTATCTACGACTAGATTCCAATTAGCGGTTAATCACCATGTTATTATCATGCCTTTATAACTCCTCGGTTCTTCATATGTACAGGCTCCTACCAGAGTCACCAAGGTGGCTGATATCTCGTGGGCGCACAGAAGAAGCTAAAACGATAATACAAAAAATTGCAACGTCCAACAAAGCTACACTGAGGGAAACTGTAATGCCCGAGCTCTCGTTTGAGGAAGACGTCCAACAAACAAGACTGTGGAGGATATTTTCACATCCAGTTCTTCTAATGCGATCTGTCATTGTTTTCTTCAACTGGTATATATACTATACATATTCTTCCATTGCATGTAATCCTAGACAACAATGCATATCGGATCATATACATTACGCGTAAGAAGTATTGCCTTCATTTTATCATGTGAGATAGAGGAATCAGTTTGAAGAATCTATAGCAGTTTCATACAGTACTACCGTTAATCGATAAAATCTACAGTATGACATCTGTCTGTAATGGTTCACGATGGTTTGGTAAAATTTGCAAAATATCTCTCTTTTTCCAAACGCCTGACAGAAACTCATATTGACTTCACTACTATCATTTCCATTGTGCATCCGATGCATAGTGTGATTTGGGGCATGGTGGGCGAGCTGTCTAAGGCGCCAGGGTAGTGATCCAGTGAGCTTGAGGTGCCGGGATCGAGCCCACCTGTGACCGGGTGTAAACACCTTGGAGTCAACTTTGTGTGCAGACTCTTTCACTTAAAAGAACCCACGAATCCGTTGGTACCTGACCAGATGGTGTTCTATGTTTTCTGGTGAATTGTATGGAGTACATAAGCCATCTGGATGTCTGTTTTGTTTGTAGAGTGAGTGTTTGAGATTGGTGATTAGTCTCGTTATGCAAGTGTCAATGTTTTTGATGTTTGAGAATGTAGGAATTGTACTTATTGGGATTTTATAATAGAGGTGACCCAGGTTGATTTGGTTGTTGTGTTGGAAGTTTGTATTGAGTGTGTTTAATTTAATGAGATGTTTGATTTCTGTTTTGGATGTATGGAAGTTGATGTTTGGTGATGTGTGTGTGTGTCGTTGCGAGTTTGGCTGCTGTGTCTGCTATGTCATTACCTGGGATATTTGAGTGACTGGGGATCCAAATGAAGGTTATATTTTTGTTCAAGCGTTTGAGTGAGTCGGTTTGGAGTGTGACGTTGGGAATTAAGTCTGGGCGTGATTTTGAGTGCATGTTGTGTATTTGCCTAATAGAGCTGAGTGAGTCGGATAAATTAAGGAAGTTTGATTGATGTAGTGTGGGTATTAAGTGCAGTGCAGTGAGGATTGCTGTTCGTTCTGCAGTGTTGGTGGTGGTGTGGTTAGTGTAGTGGAGATTTGTTGTTAGAGGGGGAGTTTGCTGTACATGTACTGGATGCCTATGCCTGTGTATTTATTTCTGTTAGTGGATGCATCTGTGTGGATGTGGGTGTATGAGGGACAGTTGGTGTTTATGCGGTTGTTTATGGTGTTTATTTTGGTGGGTGTGTCAGTGTTTTGGGGGAGATTTGGCAGGGTGTTGGCTAAGGTGGTGTCTGTATTGGGTGGGGGCTTGTCGTAGATGAAGCTTGTAATGGGAGGTGTGTGAGAGATATTGTTTAGCTGTTGTGCATGTAGCAGACTGTTAAGGTGAGTGAGGAAAGGTGCTCTGTTTGGGTGAATTTTGAATTTTTTTATGGTGATTTCTTAGTGTTATTGTATTTTGTTGTGATATGTTTGAACATAGGGTTGTGCTGGGCCCCAGCCCAGTAATTGAGTGCACTTTGGTCTATTCTGTGTGTGATTGAGATGCCTGTGAGTAGTGAGTGAGTTGAGTTTTACGCCGCACTCGGCAATATTCCAGCTACATGGCGGCGGTCTGTAAATAATCGGATCTGGACCAGACATTCCAGGGATCAACAGCATGAACATCGATCTACGCAATTGGGATGCAATGACATGTGTCAACCCAGTCAGCGAGCCTGACCACCCGATCCCGTTAGTCGCCTCTTACGACAAGCATGGGTTACTGAGGGTTCATTCTAACACGGACCTTCGCGGGTTGCCTGTGAGTAGGAGTAATGTGTTGAGGGAGATGCCACTCCTGGTACCAAGGGCGACTTTAAGGGCTTTATACTGGATAAATGTTGGGTTTTGGAGATTCCAAGGAGAGAGGTTGTGGAGGACTGGAGCAACGTAGTCCACTTTCGACTGAATAAGGGTTTTATAAATATTGGTTAGTGTGTGTTTGTCAGCACCCCAGTTTGTGCCGCTGATTGCTCGCATTAAGTTTAAATCTCTTTGGCAAGAGTTGACCAAGTTATGAATGTGGGGTGTCCATGTCATGTGTTAGTCGAAGGTTACTCCAAGAAATTTTGCTTCATTTTTGTATTGAATTTCTTGATTGTTTAGGTGAAGTTTGAATGTGTAATTTTGGGGTCCAGTTTCTAATATGATTTAGCATGACAAGGTGTTGTAGCAAGGAGAATATATATATAGCTGCATAGTGAGTATATACAATTGACAAGGTTGATATACTTTGGATTGCTAATTAGTGATTTGAGCAGAGTAGGTTTATGTACAGAGTGACAGTGATTAAAACAATATGCAGAATGAGTTTATACAATAGATGAGTTGATATACACTGAGATGGTTATAGTGAGTTGAAAGGGTAGGTTGATGTACACATTGATTGATTGTGATTACAATACACAAAAGGGAGCATGGAAGCCAATTGGACGAGGTTGTCTGCTCGGTTGTTTTTCCAGGATGTGGATGTTGTTCCAAAGGATAGCATAGTCAGGGTTGGCTTGGGTGTGGTCGGCTATGGCGGATTTGGAGTCTTTTTTCTGGACTGAAGTTTTGTGTTCTTTAATTCGTAGTGGAAGAGGGCGGGACGTTTCACCTATATAAGAATCTCCACATTGGCCATGGATCTTGTAGACTCTTCCTGTGGGGTCTTCTTTTGTTGTTGATCGGGGTTTGCCTGTGGCTTGGAGGAGGTTTGGGATGGACTTGCCTTTCTGGACCTGCTTGCTGCTGAAGGAGTCGTCTTATCTGGTACATATGGGATACTTATTATGAAGGGTGCTGATTGCCGACGGGGTGATTTATCTCTTGGGTTGAGGGTGGATCTGATGGCGTTAACTAACTTCTAGGGGTACTGGTTATAACGGATGAAGACATGGCGGAGGTGGTTTAGTTCGGTTTCCAGGGCTTCTGTTGTTGAGCAGATGTTCTTGGCTCTTCGGGTAAGGGTGGAAATGATGCCTTTCTTAACCTGCAGAGGGTGGTTGGAGGTGAAGTGAAGATATTTGTCGGTATGAATGGGTATCCTGTAGACAGTGGCGGAGAGCTTGTTTTCTTGTTTCAGTTCCAGGAGGTCGAGGAAAGGAGTTGTCAGATTCTTCTTCCACTGTGAACTGCATACGGGGATGTTGGGAATTGAGGTGGTCGAGGAGGTGTTCAGGGTTGTCGTTGGGGTTGAGAACTACAAAGGTGTCGTCTACTTTTCTGTACCAGCATATTGGAGCGATGGGGGATGTCAGCAGGGCCTTATCTTCAAGTTCCGTCATGCATACCTCAGTGATGATAGGGGAGAGAGAACCCACCCATGGGTAGCCCATGAGTTTGCTGAAAAATCTTGTCAGACCAGGTCAAATAGGTTGAGCTGATGCAGGAGTTGATAAGGCGGATTATACTGTCAATGCTGATCATGAGGTGGGTATCTAGGTCGGGATGGAGGTCTTCAAGTCTTCCGGGTATGATGGTGAGGGCTTTATCTCTGTGAACATTCGGGAAGAGGTCAACGACATCGTAGCTGATTAGTTTGCCAGGCTGGGTGATTGAGCTGATCTTTGTGCAGAATTCGGCAGTGTCGGCGACGAAGGGCGAGGCTGATTTACGGGCAATGAGCGAGGAGTCGGGCAATGTGCTGAGCGGTGTTGTAGTGGACGGTGTTTCTGGAGTCGACTACACCGAAACGTCGCACTCATTGCAATAAAGAAGTTGACTGTCCATAGAACTTGATTTTCCTTCACCTATACAACTTCTACAAATGCCTCTCAAAGAAGTTGTTTCTTGTTGTTGTTTGTTTGTTTGTTTTTTTCTTTGGGGGCGGGGGGAGGTGTTTGTGCGTTGTTGTTGTTTGTTTTGGAGGGATGTAAACGTTCGAAATGACACAGGCTGGAGGTTGAGGTCTGTATATTTAGTACTGGTAACAAACCTACACCCCGTGACAATGAATGAAACAAGGGCTTAACACATTGTATCACATAACTGGGGAAACAGAATTTCCATCACATAACTCGAAATATACAGGAAACAGATAGATTAATTGTTTTTACTAAAACGATAATGGTCATGTAAGATTGCCTTGTATACCCTAGGGATGTCATCTTAATTGATAAATTTACACATGCAACATTAATCTGTTATAATATTCAATTTAATCCTCCAATTAATCAGAATCAGATGTTTAGAATACAAAGAATATATATGTATCTATTGTAATTACAAGTGCGTGTACCCCGTGAATGCCTATGGGACGTTCTGTTCGATACAAATGACCATGTCCTCGTGGCAACCTGTTCATGATATAAAACATACCATGAGTAGTTTTCTATTTCTATCTAAACATTTAAAACACCACAGATTACTGCAAAACTAACAAAACCACAAATACAATCAAATACGGAATCTCTTGTACACATACACTCGTTACACACTCAAACACAAATATATGTGACATGTTTAAATATAATATTAATTTGACATATAGATTTCTTCAGTAAAGTGTTTTATACATGAGACTGACATAATACGAACACTAGGTTGTTGGCGATCTATAGCCCGTGTTTTATATTGTATTGTCTGCTTTAATTAAAATGTTCTAGTTTTCCATGCTAGTTTTATATCCATATCTGTGATACTCTAGTTATTTTACAGTCCGTCGATGACTGGTTATTTACCTACTTGTATTTATTGTGTATGTTCAACATTTCTCGTCGTTATATGGCTGAAATATTGTCGAGGTGACGTTACATTTTAACTCACTCATGATCATTCACTCACAAATACGAACACAATAATAGTAACTACTGACCCTTAAATTCCTGATCTTGTCTCCGTCTCCCAGTTCAGTGGGTGTGCAAGTGAGAAAATGGAGAGGTGAAAACAAAAGCTTCAAATTAAGACACCAATTCAAAACTAACTAATCATTCCTTTGCCTATTCTTCTATTTTGATTGATAACATATCTACAAAAGAGCGACCCAATTAGAATAACGTAACCCAAGGGGAGGTTTAATGATGTTACTCAGCTTACAACTGCTTAAATGTTTTATCCAGACTGAAAGATTTGATTATTGATACGTACGTGAAGATAGCTTCTTTATGAAGTTGGAAACATTACAATATATAGTTATTAGTTACTGAATTATCTTAACTAAACAAATGACATTATTTAAATATGTTGAGGAACAAAAGCTAAATGATAAAACATGATCACTATGTACAGAAATACACTTAACCAGGTTAATGCTGGATGTGGGTTTGTTAAATGCCATGCTATTATTTCAGGTTTGCCATCAACATCGTCTACTACGGACTAAGCCTGAATGTGGGCAACCTGAGCGGTGATATCTATCTCAACTTCTTCATATCCAGCCTGATGGAACTTCTTGGATATATAGTGTGCCATGTTCTAATGAATAGAGTTGGCAGGAAGACAGTGCTGTGTTCCTCCATGGTCCTCGGGGGTTTAACGTGCATATCTTCTTTGTTCCCGCTGATTCATGGCAACTCTTGTAAGACAATATTCCTTGTCATGGTTGTTAAGATGAGCGTTTGTAATAACATTGTTACTACAACAAGGAATTAATTAATTATGTCCAGCTCGCAATGTGTATGTTTCATTTCATGGCTGTTTGGATGAGCATCTGTAATAACACGTTACGTTTATTACACGTAAACAATTACGTAAAGCGTGACTGCGATGACATTAATTATGTTTAAAGTATTTTATTTATTTCAACTAAATACACAACACACGTGCTCATAATCTTGCCAATTTGGCCCTTTGAGCTCCAAACCTTACTGTGGCCTCAGTGTTTCACCATTGTATTACTTTATCCAATGGGAAGACACAACACAACATACTATTTGGATATTAGGACGATACAAATTACCGTTTTTCCTTTTTGCCTGAAGCTACAGGATGGATTCTGAGAGCAATCACCATGGCTGGTAAACTTGGAGCCACTACATCGTTTGCTGTCATCTACATCTTCTCTGCGGAGTTGTTTCCTACGACGTTGCGACAGTCCGCTATGGGGTCTTGTTCCTTGTTTGAAGGGGTGGCTGGCATGATTGCACCATATATTGCTGACCTGGTAAGAAGATGTACTCGTGCAATGTTAACAGGCATAAACACTGACGCCATATGCAGAAGATCTGAAATTTCATTGTAAAGAAGGTCCTGGAAGAAAGTGCAGTCACATTACACCAAAATATACTTTTAGATACATGTTCAACGAAATCAGTTTCCAAGCTGTTCTTAAAAAATCATGTCTCCTGAATTATTGCTATTGTGTTTGAATAAAGGATGTGTTCCAGAATACAGACACCTTTCACATAGGATATTTATCAATATCAACCACAAAGATATTCAATATCGGCAAGTAGATCCCCTTACCTCGCCAAGATGGTATTTTGGGCAAAATGTTAAAATATGTATATATTCAATAAATACATCTATATGGAAATGGGGAATCAAACTCATTTCACTTTTGACATGTGATGGACATGTATACATTTCGACATAATTGTAACATACATTCGTTAGCTAAGTTATCAATATGTTTCACACGCATGCATTGCCTCTCCTGTTTCTAGGGTATCCTCACCAAAGGACCTCTACAAGAAGTTTTGCCGCTTATGGTGTTCGGTTCCCTCTCAATAGCGGCCGGAATGATGGCTATCTTGTTACCGGAAACACGTGACGAACAGCTACCAGAAACATTAGTTGATGCCATCTTGTTTGGTCAACCTTCTCCACGTCAAGATCAATACTCTGATGAGGTGCAAGTGAATCAAGCAAGTTATTTCTGAGACTAGCATGGTGGTAGATTTCAGAATTGGTAAAATGTTTCTAACTACAATTTAATTAATGTGACTTTGTAATTATCAAGAACACATCCTCATAACAATTTATTTTTCCAAGAAACTTGTGTAAATAGCAGGATTATTTGTCAAGCTATTTTGAAGGCAGCTGGTTTGAAATTATTCCCTAACCCTAAAACTTATATCATGAACGATTTAATACACTATCTCTCCATCCGACTTCGTCCAGTCGTCCCCTGATATGTTAAATAATAATAATAATAATAATAATAATAAGGGCCTGATGATGTACGCCTCTCCGTGGTGGGCCTAGATAGGGGAATTATATTCCCTGAACCAAACGTACATCACCCAGTTAGGGCTGACCCCCCGAAGCTGGTTTTTCACTGGGTTACTAACAGCCAAGAAGAGTATAGTCTTTCACTTCCGCAGCCCAGTCAGCCTTCCTCCGGTAGTCAAACCAACCTTACTGGAGATGGGGACTTGCCCCAGGGGAAGGCACAGGACCCGGCCAAGAATATCTTGGTCAAACCATCTCAAAAATCCACACTACCAGAGTGTGCGAAAGCGACAGGATGGCCTGATAATCCACGAATAAATGGCAAGTCGCTTGCTGCATTGGGACAATGCCATGCCCATGTATGCTTACCTGACGGAGCAAAATTTTCGAGATCAATTCCGGCGGCTTAAAATCTCTTGCCCCGTGAGCCAGTTCAACCCACAACTGGTGCCCGTCAGGAACCTTTTGCATGAACAGAATGCTCAAGTGGCAGCAGACCCGAAACTTCTAATGGACGTCCGTGTCAACCTCTTTCCTCTTGCTGATGGAAACTCTTCCGACAAAGAGCTAATTGGCCCCGAAATTTCAGACCCTCACCCTTCCTCTTCTTCTTCAGTTGCAGATCTTTCCGAAAACCCTGTGTATATTTTTGTTTCATTCTATTTATGATGAAATATCTGGCATACCTTTAGAAAAATCGGAGGCCTATTAAACAAACAAATGAATCTTTTCCCCAAAAAATGAAATTAATTTATTAAATGATATTATTTCTATGAAACTTTCATCGGACTGTTCATTACATGAAGTTAATTGTTGTGTCTATTCTTGCCGCTCGAACCTTTGGAGGAAATTCACACAGTTTCCAAAGAAAAAACATCTAACACTAAGAACAAAACACCAAAGAAAAAACCGGTTTCAAGTAAAACTAACGGAAACTAGAAAATACATTTCCTGGATAGAACTGTGCCTGAAGTTAAGATCATCAGGAGTCTAATGTCAAAACGGCAAAAGTCAATTTGGAGAAAAATTAAAATACAATACAAGACAACAAAAGAGAAGGTACTTCTCCAAATTGTCGATTCCCTTGAGGCCAAAATAAAGGTTTGGACTGAAAGAAAGAAAAATGGGAAAAGAAAAATAAATTCATCAAACAAAATAAACTGTTTAGGAACCAATGAAAACACTTCTACAGGCAACTGAAAACAAAAAAAGGTGATGGTGAACATGACAAAGGGCCTCCCATGGATGCCAATGAAAGGTTCTGGAAACAGTTGTTGTCTGTACCCGGCAACTGTAACCTTGAGGCACCATGGGTCCAGATTATGACCATGCAATGCATGAGAAAGGTAACTAGGTCGTTTGTCTGTTACATCTCACCAGATTGCCTGAAAAGTGTTATAAAAGTCCAAATCTAATACAGCTCCAGGGCCTGATGGCATTCGAAACCGGTATTGAAACTGTTCCCTGTGTCCAAACACCGTTACTACACTGTTTCAATATTCTCGTGGACACAGGTGATGTTCCTCCATGGTTCTGCAAAGGTCGCACAATACTTCCCCAAGAAAGGAGACTTGACTGATCCCAAAAACTTCCGCCCTATCACACATGTTTGAATACACAATGCAAAATATTCACAGGGTGTTTGACAAACCTCGTGTCATCTTACTGCTCTTCCAATGATATCATTTACAGAGAGCAGAAGGGAGCAAGAAAGGGATGTTGGGGTGCAAGGATCAACTTCTTTGTACAGAAAAATGATTTTGGAAGAGGCTAAAACTTATCACCGCAACCTCTCCATGTGCTGGATTGACTACAAAAAGCATACGACTCTGTCCCTCACGAATGGATTCTGAAGTCTCTTCATTGTATTGACCTCCTGAACGACTACTTGATTTACTCAAGTCTTTGATGAGTTGCTGGTCGACTCAACTTGAGATGTACTCACAAGGGCAGGTGCAGACTTCGAATCTATTCCAATCAGAAGGGGAATATTTCAGGGGATTCCTTTAGTCCTTTGCTTTTTGTCTTTCTCTTCTAAATCCTTTGAGCTTTCTGCTCAATAAAGAGGAGGGTTACCATCCCGGACCTCCTCAGCACAGATCCCTCAACACCTCTTACTCATCTCCTTTACATGGATGACATCGAACTCCTTGCCAAAGGAGATTCCAATTTGAAAGAGCAGGTTCTCCTTGTCGAGTCCTTTCTAATGATATTGGCATGACATTTGGACTCGACAAATGTAATACTCTTTATTTGAAACGTGGCAAGGTAACTAATGATGGATCGGTCAGGTTACAAGGGGAGGAGTTATTGAACATCTTGTGGAAGATCAGGCCTACACCTATCTTGGAATGCAAGTTCGAGACAAGCTCCAGAATGCCCAGATTCAAGAAAAACTTCGGGCCGAGTATAAAACTCGTTTAAAGAAAATCTGGAGCTCAGAGCTAAATGCTCGTAACAAGGTCAAAGCCACCAATACTTTTGCTGTGCCAGTCCTCTCCTATTCCTTTGGAGTAGTTGATTGGACAAAACAAGACATCCAGAGTCTTGACCATCTGACCAGAAGGATCATGTCTGATAACAGAGCCCACCACCCTCGTTCCTCTCTTAACCGTTTATACATGCCAATCAATTCTGGCGGTCGGAGTTTGATTAATGTGGAGGCTCTTCATGACAGAATTTTATTGTGTACTTTTGCACATATCTATTTATCGGATGATCCTCTGGTGATGCATGTGAAGACTCATGATGAAAGCAAGGAATTCCACAGTTATTTTAAGCGTGCCAAGGTTGTTGGACAGAATCTGAAATTTGAGGTTGACTTTGCTGATGGCAATGTACTGCTGGACAGTACAGCGATGGGAGTAAACCAGGTGAAGTCCTTAACCAAGTCTGCCCAGAGTCGGTCTTTTGTGGAGAAGCTTTCTGAGAAGCCATTGCATCGTGTGTACATGCAGTGTGTTGAACAGAATAGCAATCCCACCGACTCCTTCGCCTGGATGAAGTCGGCTGGTCTTAAATGTGAAACTGAGGGCTTCCTTTTTGCTGCTCAGGACCAGTCACTTCCCACTCGTAATCGCCAAAATGTGATTCTGAAAGAGAATATTAACATGAAATGTCGACTTTGCAATGAATTTACAGAGACTGTCCAACACCTTGTCAGTGGATGCCCTTCCTTGGCACAAACAGCATATCTTAAACGACATGATGGCATGGCTCGTTGCTTTTACTACCGTCTCCGACATGCTTGTGGCTTTGACTCCGAGGTCCATCCATGGTACGACCCTGAACATGTCCAGGGCGTCATGGAAAATAATGCTTTCAAACTTCTGTGGAATAGGCCCATATACAGCCTCAGAAGAATTCCAGCCAACAAACCTGATCTTGTCCTTTTTGATAAAGCCAATGAATTTATTTATATCATTGAATTTTCTGTCCCTTTTGACACCAATGTGATTGGCAAGATTAAGGAAAAGCATGATAAATATGCGGACCTCGCCTTTGAAATGTCTCGCTTGCATCCCAAGTACACTGTCGTCAGGCTCCCCATTGTTCTCTGTGCCCTTGGTTTGGTACCTCCTGATCTCTTGGCGCAGATCAGGAGAGTGCCCGGGTTCTCCACCGGGAGCACAGCCCTTCTGACACTCTGGGTAATGCAGAAGGCTGCAGTGTTGGGGAGCCTTCATATTCTCCGGAAAGTTCTTGGTGGGTTCGACTAGGCAGCGTCTCCTGGGAGAAGTCCCATTCGCTGTCTGGGCTGCGTGTAGAGGGGGCAAGGGCCCTGAGCTGATGATGAGCCTTACCAGCCTGACTGTGCCAGGATCACCCGAACCCTCTCTGCTGCATATTAATTTTTAATCTGTAAAACATAATAATAATAATGTGGTTTTGTATCCCGCTGGATTCCATACTCTCGAGTATGCTCAAACCGGCACATAGGTCAAAGGTCATAGTGTCAACGGAATAGGAAGGTCTTTAGTCGGGATCTGAAAGAGTCAAATGAAGGAGTAGAGTACTATAGTGCATCGTGAATGTATAGATTGCACCCCTTTCTCCCTTTTCCCCTTTCTCCCTTTTCCCCTTTCTCCCTTTTAAATAATTCATAAGATTCAGGACCATGGATGATAAGATATCGTGTGATAACTTTCAAATAACCAATATCTTCCTCCGATTTCCACCTGAACTTGAAACAAAGGAGACTATTATGGATTTCTATTCATTTTCATGTTTAGATCTATGCATAACGAGTGAAAAAACACGCTCCACAATATTTATGACAAAGGTGTCTTGCTCAGAGGATGTTTTATCAGTGTTACTATATTCTAGTTTCAGTGAAGCTTTGAGGACTGGTCTAAATCTAAAGGATTCAAATGATGAACATAGAGATTTTTGTTACATCTTCTTTTATTTAGAATAAAAAGGATGTAACCCAGGTTCATCAAATCTCTTCTAAAATGATCAAGCATCTGATCCAAATGATCTTCGATACACTACCCTATGTGCACTGATACGATTAGTTTTTGCTTTTATTTTCAGGCGAACATCTGACTCTACAAGGGACACATGCTTGAGAGGGATGCCACGGGTTGGGCAGGATAGGCTCATGGAACTATGAGGACACCTGGTATCATCACTATTGTTGCGGTCAAATGCTTTAGCTATATTTAGATTGAGATCATGTGATCTAGGGTAAAAAGGGGGAGATAAC